GGACCCTGTTTTGAGTTTTACATTTCAGTTTCTCTCTCAGGAACTGGGCTGTAGAAAAATGCCTTTTAGCTTGTAAGTTAATTCAGCTGGGTATGATGTCACTGAGAAATAATAAGTATTATAGCTCCATGCATGATGCATGTCTACAGCATCAGTTTTCAGATTACAATCCCAAAGCTGGTGTGTGTGAAAAAAATGTGGGTACAATTTTTGCAAGAACAAATGCCATCTGCAAAAGGGATCCCAGATTTTTGCAAATGTAGGTCAAAATATCCAATGTGATAATAAATAAATGCAATCCAAAAGATTTCCACCCCAAACAATAGCTCTGTATTTCCACTGACATCACACCTTTTGGCAAAGATGTGCCTGAAGAGAGGTGCCTTCTGCCATCCTATATATGGTATACATTTGAATGGGGGTAATTTAGATGCTGTAAGAATTATTTACTATCATTTGCCAAGAATGAGGAAAAGATTTTGGGGGAAGTATTTGTGTGTGTGGGTGTGAGGGAGTGTTTTTGAGAATGAGGACTATCCCAAAATAAGAAAGAGCATCAGTAACTTTCTACTTATTCAAAAAGAGTATGTCTACACTACAGCGTTATTTCGAAATATGCTATTTCTAAATAGTTAATTCAAAATAGCTTATTTTGAAATAATGCGTCTACACACAAAATGCATTTTGAAATAGCGTTTTGCTATTTCAAAATAGCACGTCCACACTGAGTGGATGCTGAACTGCATTTAAGGCCGGCCAGAACCAGGTCTGGCAGGGCATCAGGTCAGGATGGAATCTGTGAACAATGCACTTTGTGTGGCTGCTGCCTGAGGCTATCTGAGGCCTGTATTTAAAGGGACACCCCACCCTCACCCCCCGACAGCCGGCTCTCAGCTTTCCCTGCTTGCTTGCCTACCTCAATGAGGGACAGCAAAGCATTTTGTCTCTGCATGCTCTGATGGCCCTCACTCGGGACACCACAGCACTCTGCAACATGGAGCCAGAGCTGCCCCTGGGCACTCTGGTGCTTCTCTTGGATGCGTTGCTGCGAGCCTGGCTGCACTTTCTGCAGGCTGCCTTCTGGGAGGTCCATCGGGGGGCTTTCAGTATCCAGGAGGCCCTGCGGGAGAGTTTCTACCCTGAGGAGCACTAAGAGCCTCCCTGGTCTGCCCCACTGGGGGTTTGTGCCTCATTCCTCCCTCACATCCCTCCATTTCCTAGGGTCAACCTCCCATTTGGGCTTCCAGGACAAACAAGGCTGAGTCATTAAGCTTCTGGGCCACCAATAATGGTCCTCATTAGCATATTTAGAGATATAAACAGATCCACACTTCATATTTCTAAATTCACATACAAGAATGATGAATGCACAAAAATAGGATATACAAATCCAGCAGATTGTAACTGTAACATTGATATGTCTGTTTTGCAAAAAAGCATCTTTGAGTTATGCATAGAATCATAGAACACTAGAACTGGAAGGGTCCTCGAGAGGTCATTGAGTCCAGTCCCCTGCCCTCACGGCAGGACCCAGTACCATCTAGACCATCCCTGATAGATGTCTATCTACCTGCTCTTAAATATCTCCAGAGGATGGAGATTCCACAACCTCCCACGGCAACATATTCCAGTGTTTAACCATCCTGGCAGTTAGGATTTTTTTTCCTAAACTCCCTTGCTGCAGTTTAAGCCCATTGCTTCTTGTTCTATCCTCAGAGGCCAAGGAGAACAATTTTTCTCCCTCCTCCTTATGACACCCTTTTAGATACCTGAAAATATTCATATTCACAAGCTAATTCTCATAAGGCATAGGAGGGGCATCACACCCTTCATCCTTATGCTTCTGCTGAAGCATGAAAATGGAGTGGGGAAGAAAAGAAGCAGCTATATAACAATTCATGAGGGAGCTGAGTCAGGGGACAGTGTTGAGGTACAGGGCAGAAGGGGGAGAAAATGCAGGATTTCTCTGGAAAGAGGTTTGTGGGGGTATATCAGAAGATACTGCTTAAATATAAGAAAAGAGGGAATGGTTCTGTAGCCCAGACCAAGCCATGAGTATTAGCAGGGCTCACAGTTAAATATTTACTGCTATTCAATAAAATATATCTGGTCCACATGCTCAATAGATGTAAATTGTCATAGTTCCATTGACCTCAATGGCCTTACAGTTACTCACACCGGCTGAGGATCTGGTCCTCCTGTAGAGTGAAAGCTCTGATCTTCTCAGTAGTGTCATAAACCTTCTAGAACTTTTAGACAAATGTCTACACTAACTTTGGGAGTGTTATCAGCCCAACACCAATACACAAGAACCCTGTGAAGAGAGCTGTTATTTACAGCGACGATCTAGGCAGTATTTCAAAATGAACAGAATACATCCCTACAGCATTTCTAGGCAGAAGGGCAAGGGGATGCCAGCAAAACATGTGTGAGAACACACGCACAATCCTTTAAAATTCCTTTTCAATTAAACAATTATGGCTCTTTCAATGTGTGGTTGATGGGCCTGGGAAGGCACTCAGAATTTTGTGTGCCAAACGATCTTCAGAGTCATCCACACTCCTACTAATGCTGCTCTTCGCAACACAGTAGCTTTGTTTCTGTGCATTCATTTCAGTGCTAAATTGGATGGAATCTGTGAACAATTTCAGGCAGTACCCACTGTCTGCTACTGAAGATCAGATAACGGGTATTGTGCCACTGGAGCACTCCAATACACAGGCCTCTTTCACATGTCAAAGGTGTCCTCAGCACAATACTCTGGTTTTCAATGGCTTGGAGAACAGAGTTCTAAGCCAAAGAGTACTACAGCACATCTCATAACACTATGAGATTTGGCTGGTCCTTTGGTCTTCTTAGTCCAAGTGTAGGTGTGAGGTGAAAAACTGGTTTGAATCCAGGCCCATTTGTGTGGGAGTCCAAGAAGTGTCTCTCTTTTGTTATGACAACATTCATTTTTAGCTTCACTGATTTCCCATTACTGTCTCTTCCAGCAGAACTACCAGGTTTCTTCATGTAACAGTCAGTAGCATTGTGCAAAATACAAATTATTATACAACAAACACGTAGAGTGAATTACAAGAGTCCTTTGTTATGCTGGCAGACCAGGTGCTAACTCATGCTAATTCCCATAGGTCTCAGTCAAAGACTGACAAACACATAGCTGGAAACCAGGCTGGTTCATTTTTGTGTTAGTATTGTTCAAATAGGAATTAGAATGATAAATATGTGGTTAGAGTTTAGAATTTATTAATCACTTGCTTGGATGCTGCAATGTATTCATCTCTCCTATAACATCTGTTCCTCAGGTTATAAAGTAACACATTTAGGGTATGTCTAGATTACATGGCTCCATCGATGGAGCCATATAAACTAGTTTACCCGGCATAGGCAAAGAAGCGGGGATTTAAATAATTTTTCATTAAAATAAACATGGCTGCCGCGCTGTGCCGACGATCAGCTGATCCGGCACAACGCGGCAATCTAGACTCGGATCTGTCAGCTGGGGAAGCCTTTGCCGACCGATCCCTTATGCCTCGTGAAATGAGGTTTACAGGATCGGTCAGCAAAGGCTTCCCCAGCCGACAGATCTGCGTCTAGACTACCGCACTGTGCCGGATCAGCTGATCGTCAGCACAGCACGGCGTCCATGTTTATTTTAATGAAACGGGGATTATTTAAATTCCTGCTTCTTTGCCTATGCTGGGTAAACTAATTTACATGGCTCTGCCGATGGAGCCATGTAATCTAGACATACCCTAAATGTCTGCAGTGTAATTCTCTGGCTACCTCTACATAGTGGCTCTATTTCGGGATAACTCTGGGTGCAAAGCAAGCTAGAGACACCTTGTTCCACTTCCCCCTGCTACCAGTGAGTGCAGGGAGCAGATGGCCCCCTGCTGCCAGTGCTTGCCCTGGCTTCTGGGCTCCACTAGTTCTCCAGGATGCCTCAGTTGGGGGAAGAGGCAGGGCAGGGGTAGAACAAGGGCAGGGAGGGGCACGCCCTGGGGCAGAGAGGGGTTGTCCTGACCCTTTTTGGATTGGGGGGGTTACATGGCCACTCCAGGTCCCTCCTCACTAGTTGCCTCTGCCTTTGACTGTTGAACCTCTTCACTCTGTCGATTTGCTTGTGTCATTTTAAGTTGGGCTATGGCTAGACTAAATCAGAAGCCTTAATAGACTTGAGCAGAATACAGTTTAGATTCAGTATGACGTACCATGTTCCAGTCCTTGCGTTGTCCACTTTTGTGCTTGAGTTAGATTAATTGGCATTTAGAAGTTTAACACATAATCTGTCCGACATTTTTTAAATGGACAGAATCAAAATGTGGGCCTACTCAGAGTTATGGTAGTGAGAAAAAAGAGCATTCTCATTGCTAGCTATACTGCATCACTAGAGGATGTGGTGAAGGCTAGAACTTTAACAGGGTTCAAAAAGAGCTAGATAGATTCATGGAGGTTAGATCCATCAACAGCTATTAGTCAGGAATCGGATAGGTAGGAATGGTGTCCCTACTCTTTGTTTCTCTGGAGGTGGGTGACAAGGAAGGGATCATGTGGGGATTACCTGTTGTGATCCCTTCCTCTGGGGCATCTGGTATTGGCCCCTGTTGGCAGACAGGACACTGGGCTAGATGGACCTTTGGTCTGACCCAGTCTGGCTGTTCTTATGTTTTTATCATATTCAGTGAGAAATCTGGGCTTGAGGACTCAAAGATAACTCACACTAGAAGTAGATATGGGCCAAGTGGAGCTAGCTGGAACCTTTGTCCATTCTTTAGTCTGCTCTGATGAGTTTGGGAAAAGATCAAATAAAGAGAACTTTCTTATACACCTCAAATACTGTCAGTTTCTTCCCAATACACCAGGGGTGGGCAAAAGGGCCTCCATGGGCCTGATCCGGCCCGCCAAGGAGATGGAGCCAGCCCATGGAAGCCCTACTGCTCCCCCACCCTCAGGCCAATTAGTGCCTAGGGACAGGGGAGCGCGCGAAGCCTCCTCCTGTCCTGCCAGGAGCATATGGCACTTTTAAGTGCCACGTGCTGCTTGCAAGGTGGGGGCAGAGTGGAGGAGGCTTTGCATGCTCCCCAGCCCCTAACAGGCCTGGGAATGGGGGAGTGCGGAAGTCTCCTCCCATACCAGGTGCATGAGCACCTAGGGAGAACATGAGGAGGGGGTAAAGGCACTCTTTCACCCCCAGACCAATCATTGTCTGGGGGTGGGGAACACAGAAGTATCTTGGTCCTGCCCCCCTGTACCTTCCCCTTGATGCCCCGCCCCTTCCTGTGTGGCCCTGGGCCACTTAAAAATTTCCTAAGTGGTCCCCAGCAAAAAATTATTGCCCACTCCTCCAATACACCATCTTTAAAGCTGTCTAGCTCAGCACCTCTCCTCATCCCCCCAAATCTCTAACATGCTAACAATTCCAAGAGACCATCAACTACCCATACAAGCTGCACCTCAGAAAAATGTTCGGGAAGCCTGATACTTCTCATACATAAAGGCAGACTAACACAATCCACACTGCAGGCTGGACTAAGCAGACCGCACTCTAATCCAGATGCTACATGAGGCAGATTTAATTTAGTCATAGAGCTGGTTGAAAAACAGGACATCATTTTGAGGAAATTGTTGCTGGCTATTTTCTCCTTTCTCTTAAATTGAAATCTTGACATTTTGAATTTTGACATTTTTTACCACCATCATAGCTAAACAAGAACAAGGGGAAATAGTTAAAAAAAATGTCCTTGAAAAAATGTTTCATTTGAAATTTCAATTAGAAGTTTCATATAAATGGCAATTTATGAAAATTGTTGACGAACTGGACTCAATTGCATTCAATAGAGCTACCCTGAATTTACACTGCACTAAACCAAGATCAGAATAATCTGTCCCAGCTAGTATAACTCCCATGGCAGCTTCTGATCTAAATGAAATAATGTTGTAAACAGTTTGTGAGTTACAAAGTTGGTCATAAAATGGGTGTGGATGGTAAAGTGATTTAAATTGCACAGATTTGGCAGTAAAAAGGAATGCAAGTTTAATGAAACACCCACATATCGGAGGCAGAATGAGGTGTAGCAAACAGTAACAGGCGGGTGTGAAATAAAGTGTCTACAGTAGCATGGCTTCATCTTACATCCACCTTTCCAGGCAGTTCCAGTTGTAGTCTTTACCCATTCTTTGTCTTCAAGGTAAAGGCAAGACTTACATTTTGTGTTGGATAAAGAGAGGAAAATTACACAAACATATTTCTGAATACAGATATTTTCTATCCTGCTTTGGGAAAGTCTGTTGATTGTTTTGAAAAGCAACTCATCTGTACTCTATAGAGCAGCCACAGAACACACAAACTCCAGGCACATAATCTGTTTTCATACATGCTCTGTCCAGACCAGAAACCAATACCCATCAAGAATTAGGAATTAGTTTTTATTCATACCAGCACTGAGGCAATCAAGCCACAGACCTTATAATCAGGATATTTACCCAGTCATCTTAACTGAAGAGATACATGGCAACACGTGCACTCCTTCCATGCTGTACAAACCTCAGCTTCTGATAATATTATGTTACCACATTTCCCTGGATGACTGTATCAAGTGGAGCGCATGCTTGTGGTTATTTGCTAGAGGAAAGAAGCAGAAGCCACTCCTCTCTCTACTTAAGTTCTTAAAATATTTAAATGTGGGACTCAGCTTGCAGCTAGCTTAATTTAATATCCAAAAAAGAAGCTTCTCAAAGGACATACCCAAGTCTGCAATGTAAGTAGCCAACTAAAATATGTCTACATGTTATTATCAATGTTACAAGGCTTTTGTATCTGGATTTTTTTTCTTACTCTGTGATATATGGCCACAATTTTGAGGAGTAACAACCTTGACTTTGAATGCTTTCAAAGATCTAGTCATTTTTGACAAATTAGATTTTATACAATGTATGTGTGTACTTTAGTGTGTTAATATACTTGTGAGTGTCTCTATACCTATATGTGCATGCATTTCTATGCATGTTTTTGTGTATATGCTGCTTGCAGTTGCTAGGTTGATCTAGCTATATTTCATCGAATCACTTTCCTGCCATTGCAAGGGCCTCAGGCCTGGGTCCGTCCTGTTCCCAGAACACGGCTCACAATAGTTTAATGTCCCGAGGGCTGCAATACTTTAGTCTAATCCAATTTATTGGATTCAATGAAAAGATAACTGCACGGGGCTTAGTGACCTGAGATGTGTAGTAGAACATCCTAGGTGATCCAGTGTGCCCACCAGGCCTTACACTCTGTAATTTTGTGTGTGTGTGTGTGTGTGTACGTAATGCACACACACCTTGTCCAAAAATACAAGTTTCCAGTTTACGCAAGGGTTTTTATGCATACAATTACAGTTGCTGCAAATACTGTACCAAAATAAAAAAATATTTAATTTCTCGTTGAGACCAGCCAGTTTGAACCAGCGGTCAGTAAGGGGCTGCCCCTGCACCAATGAAGTTCATGGGTGTTTTGCCATGGGTGTCAATCAGCACAAGATTAAGACATAAATGCCTATTCCCTCTTTATTGCACGTCTTCTCGTGCGCTGTTTTTGGCAGTTGTTTTGCATCTTCTTCAAGAAAGTCGTGAAAAGGCTACAGAGTACAAGTCAGAATGTGTTGTGTGTTTACCTTGTTATGCATTACATGTTCATTACAGTCAGGGGTGGTGCTCCATCTGCTCTAGTGAGTCAGCAGACTCAAGGGCTCATTGTTATTTTGTGCAGGCACGATCATACACTGTAGGGTTTTTTTTATTGTATTTTGTTATATATCAGTACTGTTTACATTATCAAGGCAGCTTCAGGTAAAATACAGCATTCGAAATAGACCCACAGTTTTGCACTGTGATCCACTGTTCTATGTGTCAGCGAGTCCCATGTCAATCAGACAGCTCCATTGTGTCGCTACGATCTCAGTGTGTCACTGTTTTAATTTCTGGGAAGTGGAACACAACTGATTTATTATTGAGTGGTCCCTATAACATTGCACACATGAAAGCAATACTATTGAAACAACTATTTAAAAATAATAGCCTATCTTTGCAATATAGGGCTGGGTCCTCAGCCTCTGCTGAGAGGCCATGATACCAGCTGAAACGGTTCCCTGTGATTGAGAGAATTTGTGCATGGTGTAATGCTGGCGAATGTGCTGCCTATGGGTGAGCCAATGGAAGCAGGCTGCACTATCTCAAAGGACAGTGCAGGTGCAAGGTCTTTCTGTGTGCCTGGGAGCTGCCACAAGAGACTCCTCAGGCCTGGCAGAGAGAGACAGGAGTGCACTAGTCTTGATGTACAATGAAAAAACCTAAATCATCGTGTTTACTTTTGGAAAATCTTCTTTAGGCTGGTAACTTTTTGCTACCTTCCAGACCACATAGAGTTCGGTCCCTATTGAATTACTCATCTCTGAAAACCGGGGGTCCATAAGGACTTGTAAAGAGAGTCACGAACACAGATCTCTGCCACAAGTGAGCACCAGTAAACTATCAAATTCTGGTGGGAGTCATGTTCTGTGAGCAGTTTAATTGTACTTGTAATTTCTGGCAGCAGGGGTGCCACTTTTTTTTTTTTTTTTTTTGAGACAAATAATCAGTGTATTTTGTAAGGGTGTATTTGCACCACTCTCAACAGCTGTCCCAGGCATATTTGTCCCAAACACCCACTGGTGTGGTGATTTATTGTAATCCACTTGCTGCATCTGTGATACCTGTCCACATGTTTGTAAATCAGGGCTTGCTATTATGAATGTCTGTGCAGTGGAAGTCACACACTGGACTCTAGGGTCACAGGGCCTATTTGAATGTTAGTGGCATTCCAGATGGCCCAGTAACAATCATGGCGGTAAGGTAAACACTGCCATTAAAAGATAATAGTCACTAATTGGGAGGAGGAAGGTTAACCAGGAATTGTTAATCTGAGTCATTCAGGATGTTCCTGCAACTTCATGTGCCCAGGCACAGTTAGCATGGATCAAGCTCCCTAATACTTACCAGGAAAGGGCCTGGAGAGGAAATGGCTTATTCTCGTCAGACAGGAGTAATCTTCATCGCAGAGTGAGGAGCTGATATAAGACAGCTCTCCAGGGAGAGAGCTTCCACTTGGGGCAGGCAAGCTGTCTGGAAGGGAAGAGGAATATTCTAACTGGAGATGCAGCCTGCCCTGAGGTTGGGACTGGAGCATAATCTCTTCCACGGGTAACCCATCTTTAATGCTGAATGGCTTGCTGTGATTAAAGAGTAGTGCTGGGATGCATGGAGCTTTCTCTAGTGCTCACCTCAGAGGTCTGATATTCAACTTCTTTTTATTTTGATTCTTCATTGCCTGTATTTTATTTAAAATCAGCATTGCTTTGGTTTCATGTGATATGAATTAGCTCTGACTGTTTTATAGTGGAGACTCAGGGCCCCAGTTCCTCAACTGGTGTAAAACAACCCACCTCCATCAGATGGAGGGACACATATTTGTGCAGTACCAGCTGAGGATCGGGACTGTCATATCCTCAGAGAATCAGGGACAAAGGAAGGAAGTGAATTACTGGTTATATATCAGAGAGAAATGGTGGCTGCTGTTGATGAAGAATGTTAGAGAAGGTTCTGTGTGTGCACTGTGGGCACTAACTATACAAAAGCATTTCTAAATAACTTGGTACCATTACAGCTGTCAATGGCATATCGACACATTGAACAAAGGTAGAATATAACACTTGTTCACTTGTCACACGGTATTATTATTAATATAGTTTATTATTTGTAGGCCATGACTACCTACCAACTCCAATTACAGATCAAGGCCCCATTTTGCTAGATATTTTACACTCATGTTAGTAATGCCACTGACAGCAATAAAGTTTATTTTGATTCACAGCACTGTTAAAAGAGATTTCCCTCCATCGAGTTTTATGTTTTCTTGACCAATGTAGTAGCCAATACAGTCACCCCTTGGTTTTTGCACAAGCCCCTTGCTGATTTTATAGGAAGTTCTGTGCACAGAGAAATGGTAGATTGTAGCCTGTATATACCTTGTGTGGTTATTACTTGTTTTGACTAGTGCGCATATCAATGTCAAGTTAGAACTGTCCTCAAGGAAGAAGAAAGCATGAAATAGGC